GTCTGCAGGTGATGCTGGTGGGTCTGGTTGGAGGAGCAGAGGGAAAGGGTTTGACCTCCCTGCCCAGCAGGCACGGGCTGTGTGCTCAGCCCTGGGCAAAGCAGGCTGAGCTGGGGTTGCTGAGGGACCTTCAGCTGAAACCAGGTCAGGAACAGGAGAAGAGACCAAGGCATGGAAACCTTAACCTGAGGGCTCAGCTTCAAGCTGCCCCTTTTTAATCCATGAGGTTTTCAAGGCTTTTTTTCCTTGTATCCCACCTTCATCCTTCCCCTGCAACCAGGGATGGAGCCAGTGACACCCCCAGGGCTGCCCCTCTTGCTCCCAGGAGCTTTGGAGAGCAGAACCCCTGGAAGGTTCTTGCAGCCCCCCCAGCATCCCCAGTGCTCCCCGTGGTGCTCCAGGTGACACCCCAGGGCTGCAGGACCCCTCTGGAGCCCCTGGGCACCATCACCCCCCCTTCCCTGCCCCTTCCCTTCCCTGCCAACCCGAGCTGCTGGCTGCAGGTCTGCAAGTTCCAGGCGAGCCTGAAATCCTTTCTAAACTTGGTCACCCTCTTGCTGGCAGCTCTGGAGCTTGTTTTCCAGGCTGCTGGGACCTGCTCTCCCTCCTTAAGGAGCAGGGCAGGGGTGGGAGGCATGTTGGGCTTGTGTAAGCCCTTTGGAATTTGCTTTGAAAAACTATCTGGGAGCTGCTGACGCCTGGAAGGGGTGGCTGGGCTGGCAGAGCCTCCAGGAGGGCTGGAAGAAGCTCTGAGGAGAAACCCAGAGCAGCCCAGGGCTGGGATGCAAGGGGGTTAGGGAGGTTTGGGGTGTCCCACTTGGAAGGGAGGGGGAAAAAAATGGGGTTGGAGGGTTGCTCGGTTCCTCCAGGTGGGGGTGCTGGGGGTGGGGGGCTCTGAACTGGCCCCTGGGGAGGGTTGTGCTGGTTGCAGAGCTTGCCTGGGGTGTCCTGGGCTCTGCTGGGTGGGGGGGAGGTGGTCATGGAGGTCCCCGTCGTGAGGAACTGCCCCATGTCCCCCCCCAACTGCCCCATATGTCTCCCCTGAGCTGCCCCATGTCTCCCCTGAGCTGCCCCATGTCTC